CCAGGAAAAGCCACAGAGGGTGTGGGGCCTGAGCGACTTCCCACCGCTCCCTCACCAGCAGTGCTGGGCTCCAGAGCAGAGAGGAAGAGCGGTCCTAAGGGCAGCCATGGCCCCCACGTGGCTTGTTCAGACCTGGCTGATGAAGCCGCACAGGTGCACCCAGAAACCCTCCTCCTCGTGGGAGCCTGCACAGCTGCATGCGGGAGGGACGACCCCAAAGCCACACAGACCCAGCTGGCTGGCATCTCGGCAAAGACAGAAATAATCCCTGGGTCCTGACTCCCTGGAGAAACCACCTAGTCCACCTCAACTTCTGTGGGCTTTACCATCAAAACCATAGCCAGAACCTGACCACTTCACCTGGCCTCCACTGCTACCGCCTAGTGCAGCCAGACAATCCCCTGCCCGGCTGCCTGAGCCTCCTGCCTCGTCTCGTGCTCCACGCCTGCCTCCACCAGAGTGAACTTCAGCAGCCAGAGCGACCCTTAGGTATAGTCAGACCTCAGCGCCTCTTTGCTCCCAACCCTGCAACACTGCCCATTTCACCCTGAGAAAAGGCCGGGGCCTATGAGGCATAGTCGGCCGGCCACTTACATCGGGGCCCTGATCCCCAGGTCTGGCTCCCTGACGTTCGCCAACCCACTGGCTCACCCTAGGGCCTCTGCTCTGGCCCTCGTCGACCCACAACACTCCCCCCAGCCATTCACTTGGTAAAGGTCCTCACCTCCTTTGAGTCTGCTCCAAATTCCTTTCTTTAAAACTGGAACCCCACCCTACCCTGAACTCCCCAACCTGTAGGCAGGGCTCTGCCCCTGCTTTCTTCTGTGGCACCTCCCATCTTCCACCACACAGTCAAGTTGCCGTCTGTCAGTTCCACTCTGCGCAGCCCTGCTGAGAGGCAGGCTCCCTGAGGCCTCTGCTTTATTCGCTAAGGTACCCCAAGCACCCAGAACAGTTTTGTCAGCCGCCTAGCAGAATGAGCTAAATGAACCTTGACCTCAGAGCACCTGAGCGGCACCGGAAGAGCTCTTACTAGTTCTCAGAAGCCAGACGTTTCTCTCATCCTCTGCCCCTCCACTGACTGTCCTCATCCGAACGACCTCACGAGGGCGTCACCCCCTCGCAGTTCTCAGGGCCAGTCCAGCAACCTGTGGCCCAAGGTAGGGATGGGGACGGTGCCTGCACCCCAGCCTCACGCTGGGGGAGCATCAGGCAGATGTGGACCACCCCAGGGGGCCTCCCACACTGGCACTTCCCCAGACCCCACTGGCCACAGCTGCCCTGAGCTGCCCCAGAACAGGCGAGCAAACATCACCCAGCAACGACTCCAGCCCGTCACTGCCGGCTTCCCAGAGTGTCACGCTGAGAAAGTGTGTGTGGCCCAACCTGGCTTGGCAAGAAATCAGGCTAGTGACGACTTGGACTATGAAATGGCAGGTCTGGAAAGCATGTCTCCTAGTTGCCCTCCCCGGAGGCCTTGCAGAGACCTGGAGTGGCGCTGTCAGGAAAACTGTGACCATGGAAATGGTCTGTGCTAAGTCAGCAGCCAGGGCCCCCCATAACTACTGAGCACTTGAAATGTGGCTACTGCATCTAAGAAACTGAACTCATTTTTACTTTTATTTTAAGTTAGCATAGCTTCGTATGGCATCTCGTTACCTTTTCCGACAATGCAGGTTTAACAAATGATCCCTTACGCTCCACTGATATCCTGGGGCTATTTCCCCAGAAAATCAAAGGAGGCACCAACCCTAAAGACCGACACCTTGGCCCCAAGCCCACATTGCCAGGCTTTAGAAATACTGCACAAGGCCATGGGTTTCTCTCATCCCCTTGGCAGAAGGCAGCTACAGGCCAAGGTCCCCAGTGAGTGGAACTTATTGACAAGGTGTCCACAAACCCACTCAGAGTATGAGAGGGAGAAAGAAGAAACCTGACCCAAGGCCACGTTCTCATTCCCTGATGATGAGAAGCAGGTCGACATCAGGCACTGCGTGAGTCTGCGATGGAGCCCCCCAGCCCCCACATGGCTCAGAAGAGAGGAGTGCAGGCCCCTTCCCCAACAAGAGAATAGCAGACAGGAAAAGAAAATAAAAAAACAGACCGTTTACCTGTTGTGGACTTTTAGATAATATTTGCTGAGGAACTTTTTATGACATGTGGGGCATTCAACTGGCACCGCTGTACCTTTTCTGTTCTCAGCGGGCTCGGCTGCCAGGGAACCTGCGCTCAGGGCTGGCTCAGCAGCACACGGCTTTCTGATCATGTTTGATTTCCTCCTGGTCGGCAAGGTCTCAGTCTCTGAAACGTAATCACCATCCCCGTCGTCCTCAACTTGAACCACCACTTCCCACTAGAGCAGAAAAGGCAGCAGGAAGCGAGGTCACCAAATTAATCAGCGGGAGTTCTGGGGACAGACACACAGGGCAGCCAACTCCATCCAGTTCCATCCCAAGGCCCAACCCACACACATCCCCAGATGATTTCCTTTATCAGTGACTATTCCCATCAGGGTCCTAGGGCAGGCCCCATCAGAATCTCGGATTTGGAGGGCAGTGGCTCTATCTGTGGGGAGCTGGAAGTCTGGCCGGATTTCACTACCCTCGGGAAACACCTGTAACGCTGAGGCCAGCTTTCCAACCCCAAAAGCCTGCCAATCCTCAACAGCTGTGACTCACAGAAAGGTCAGCCTGAGGCTGCAGGACGGAGCCGGGTTCCTGGATTTGGAGAAAACCTATTCCAGACCCACGTAATAAAGATTCTACCTTGGGGTCCAGATTATCCCAGAAAAGTGTCAGTCTCTCCCCAATGACTCCCACCTCCCCATTCCCAGCACCCTGGGCACAGTACCTCATTATTCCCGCCCTGCAGCTGGACACCTTCAGCCTCAAAGGGCCTTGGGGGCACTTTGCAATCCTCAGGCTCCTTATCCTCTCGGGGACAAAGCTTCAAGGCCTGCTTGAGTTTCCCACGGTGGAAGGAGGGACTCTCACTCTGGCCCGGGAGACCAAGCTGGGGCTTCTCGGGGCCGTGACTGCCACCGATATCCTGGTCCCTGGGGACCTGACCCAGTGTCTTCGAAACTTCCTCTTCCTCCAAGCCTGCCGGCTCCTTGAGGTGGCTGTTCACGTTCCGGGGGGCAGGTTTCCCCAGCCCACTCTGGCCGCTCGGTGCCTGCCCCGCTGAGGTTTTGGGTTTGAAACTCTGGCACAGCTCCACAGCCTCTGGCACGCGCAACTCCCTGGCTGCCAAGAGCACCTGATCCCGGTTTCCTGAGGTGAGAGCAAGGTGACCAGTATAGAAGAAGTCCAACAGGAGACCAAAGATCTCAGCGAAGCCGGCAGGGAGGACGACACTGCCCCCTGAGCCATCCCCATAGAGGCTCTGGAAGAAGTGGCTGCAGCAGGCAAGGACACTCCAGTGTGCCTTGAACACCAGGCCCCCCACATCCAGGGTGGCATCGCAGTACTGGCCCTTCTCCCGCTGCTTGTTGAGCTCCTGCAGAACCCTCACACTGTGCTGGATGAAGGAGCCATCCATGGTCTGTCTGGCGGAGAGGAAGGCACAAGTGACATGCTGGCCAACCCAACCCAGGAGTCGCAAGGGAAAGCCCCTGGACCGGGAGAGGGAAAGGGGAGGTGCCCTCTACTCAAACAGTCACACTGATCTCAAGGAGGGTTTGGGTCAAGGTTAGAGAGTGCCAGCTGAGCCAGGAATGGAGTGAACGCCTCCCTGGAGATGGAGGCCCGGTGAGCAGCCCATACTGGGTAGGCCAGAAGCATGGCTTGGCGGGGGACGGGGCAGGGGCGTGAAGGGGTGCGGGTGGAGGGAATCAGCGTGGGAAAAGAGACGGAGGATCAGCGCGAACTGACCGGCCTGGCGCGGCGAGAGGGCCCGTGGCAGCGGAGGGCCGCGGGTGCGGACAGATGAGCAGAACCCACGCCGCGCCTACACGTCCCGGGAGGCCGGACGGAAGGCGGCCACAGCGGCCCGCAGCCCTTCCCTCCCTCGCCCTGTTCCCCCAGACCGCCTCACCCGCACCCGTGCTCCCCGCGTCGGCTCCACAGACCCCGGGCCCTGTGGTCTCCACAGCCCCCCGGACCAACTGCCCGCACCGTACGTGCCCGCCCGACCGCACGGAGACGACGCCGCCGCCGCCGCCGCCGCCGCCGCCGGACGTGACGTCAGGGCGCGCCGGACGGGGCGGTGACTCGGAGGCGCCGGGCTTCTAGCCCCGCCCTCGGGGCGGGGCCAGGCAGAGAACGGCCAATGGGATGGGGAGAGATGGGGAGAGGGGGCCCGGCCCGGCTCTCTCGGCGTTGGGCTCGCCTCCCGGAGTTGCTCGGCAACGCCAAGCTGGGCGCGGGCGCTTCCCCCGCTGGGCCGGGGCCGCGGGTTCCGGCTGCGGTTGGCCCCGCGGCGCCCTCAGCCTGGAGGAGGTCGCGCCCCACGCTCGTCCCAGACAGCAAGCGCAGCCAGGACGCCCATTTCACCGCTTTATTGGCAGCCCGGAGCCCGGGCTGGACTCCCGTGAGCCTACACTGTCCGAGCCAAGCCTGAGGAGTCCAGAGGCCTCCCGGACAGCGCAGGGCGCGCCGCCTCGCTCGGCCCTCGACCCTCGACCCTCGGGGCAGAGGAGGCGTCAGGCCCAACCCCCACCCCCGGCGTGGCCCTGCCCGCCTCAGCGGTCAGGTGGGGCCGCGGCGCCTCGTGTAGTCCCGGATGGAGGCCTGGACGTGCTCGGTGCTGTTGAGATCTGGGCGGCCCAGGATCGCGTAGCGCTTGGGGAGGAAACACCCGCTGAAGCCGCCACTCGGGCTGCTCGGCGCCGCCAGCACGTTGACCGCGGGCAGGTACTTGGCCTGGTAGACGCTGGCCGCGGTGAAGAAGCCAATCCAGGACACGAAGTCGAGGGGCAGACTGAAGGTGACGCATTCGGCCTCGTCGTAGTTCTCCGGCAGGTCCTTGCCCAGGTAGCTGCAGTCCAAGGCGCTGGCGGACGGGAGGCCGTCGAAGGCGAAAGCCAACATGAAGCCCGGGGAGTTGGCCTCCGTGCAATCAAGCACCACCTGCTGAGGGAAGCGCTGGAATTCCCTGGTGGGCCGTGGGGTCCACACCATGAGCCAAGCTAGACAGATGAGCAGCTGGGCCATTGAGCTGATGACCACAAATAGGCTGGGACCATGGTTTTGGACCCAGGCATGGTAGAAGGTGGGTACCTTGGCAGAAAACTTGAAGATGAAGACCAGCTGGAAGGAGCGGGTTGTCAGGCAGGACAGGAAGATGGCAAAACCGAAGGCAAAGAGGCCTTGGCGCAGCAAGCATGTGGGCAGGGTGGGCTCCCCAAAAAAGCCATAGAGCCCACAGCTGCCCCCTGCCAGGGAGCCCAGCATGAAGAAGCACAGCCTGCCCCCAGCTGACCTCACCACAGGGGTGTCTAAGTGCCAGGCAAACAGGCCAGCAGTCCCAGCCAGCAGCAGCAACAGCAGCGTATTAGCTGCCAACAGCACCCAAGAGATAGGGTCATGCCAAGTCAAAAACACCACGGTGCGTGGGAAGCAGGTTTCACTTCCCTCGGGTGCCCATTCTTCTTTCCCACAAGGCTGGCAGCTGTGGAGATCTGGAAGGAAAGGCAGAAGGCTCCTGAGAGCTAGATGAGCAGAGCAGGAATGAGGAAGGGAGGCCACGCAGACCTGCAAGGTGCTGGGAGGGCCACACCACAGGAGCTGGGTGCCTCTGGGCACGGTGAGATGGGGGTAGCCCTGAGTGGGATCCCGAGGCCAAGTGTTTCCTCAAGATGCCTGTATGAATTACAGATTCTGGAGACGCTTGGGTAGGTTCTGTATGGCTCATGATCCCTTGGGCTTGCAAACCAAGAGGTCCTTAGGGAAGGCCTTACTCTGGTGACTCTGCCCGCATGCCAGTGAGGCTATGATCCAATAGGAACAGTCAGCCCTGAAGGAAGGGCATTTTCATTTCTCCCCAGCACTTCCCTTAACCAAATCCACCTTCCTGTGCTGCCACTCTGTGGTTTCTCTGACTCTAAGAACAGAAGAGATGCATTCCCAAGGCCACAGATAGTAAAAGGAAAGAATGTGGCTCATGGAGTTCAACTCTGGGCTGAGCCCTTAGCTACCCCAATTTGCTCTCTGATCTTGACCTTGCATCACGGGGTATGTTGTTTTTTCAGCTGCAGATACAATAGTATCTGCATTCAGGCCAAGCTGTTCAAGGTGCTGGCTGTCTTTGGCATGGTCAATAGAAGGGACTTCACACAGATAGCGTGGGAGAGTACAAGGGAACATAGCTACATCTGTTTGCATAAAAACGTTGAATTTAGAATAAAATTGCCCCCGTAGGAATTGGGCTGGGAGCTCTCTAGTAAAAGACATAGTGGGTCTGAGGATTTCAACTGGTTGTTTCTGCTTCCTCAGAATTCAGTCTGGCGGCAGGTATTCTCCAACCTGTACCTAACTGCAGCGAAGTGAGCAAGGCCCTGGTTCTGCACATGTGTGGCCCACGGGGGATCCCCTCATCTGCTCTGTGGGCCCTAGGAGTGCCCAGTCATTCGCCCACTCACTTGGTCACTCACCACTCTTGTTGAGGAAGGTCCCCGCCTCCCAGGGCACACACTCAAAGCAACAGTGGCGGAAACCCACGATGACTCGCTGGTGTCCTTCAAGACAGTCGCTGGAGCACACAGACTTAGGCACCTGCAAGAAGCCACAGGTGTTCTGTAACCACATGGAGTGGCTCAAGTCGAGGGATGCTCACATGGAATGGGAAACAATCTCTGTACATCTGCTTTCACAGCTCACTCCCAGGGCAGAGCCCCTGGTTTCATAAACCTGCAGCAGCCGGCCATCTGGGTGCTGCCCGGGAAGCTGGATAGGGCCATGTTGGCCTCGTACCTGGGATCCCCCTCCTGCTCGTCCACAGTATCCTCAGGCATCAGGCTATCCATGAGGCAGTCCCCTTGTGAGTGACCATGTCTCTGTTACCTTGTTGTCCTTTCTGTGCCACCGGATTTTGGTTTTATTTATGTCCGGCTGAACTGGAGGCCATGTGGAAGAACCGATGACCCTAAAGTTCCACTTGGGACCACTCCAGTCCCAAGCAATTATGTCATAGCCCAAGCAATTATGTTAGCCGTTGTCATTAAATATCACAATATCGCTGTGTAGAAGGAAATTCACTTTGCGGATCTGCTCCAGAAGCTGAAATAAACAGGGACCAGGGAGCTGCCATAGATGAAAAAGGCTGTTCCTCCTCAACCGCCCAGACCTGGAAGGCTCAGGAAGCAAGTGCCTGGGGCCTTGTGCTTCTATTTAGGTGGTTTCAGTCCATCTGGAAATTCAGAGCCCTCCTTCCCCTCCAAGGAAGCCCCTCAACCCTCCCAACTAGCCTCCTGAGAGGAAGCTTCTTCTTTTATTTTTTTTTAGGATTTTATTTATTTATTTGACAGAGAGAGACAGTGAGAGAGGGAACACAAGCAGGGGGAGTGGGAGAGGGAGAAGCAGGCTTCCCACCGAGCAGGGAGCCCGATGCGGGGCTCAATCCCAGGACCCTGGGATCAAGACCTGAGCTGAAGGCAGACGCTTAACGACTGAGCCCCCTGAGAGGAATCTTTTAACGAAGGACCCCTTTACAGTGATTTTTAGTCCTGGATCTGAAGCATGGTGAGTGGGAGGGGCTCAGGTTCAGAGAAGTGAAACCTAAGAGAGGGGATCAGCCCTCTGATCGGTAACCTTTGTCCCGCACTCCTAGCACTTAGTTGGCCAGAAAGTAATCACTCTGCTTGCCTCAGGAAAGCACCCCCTTTCAGGGTGCCAGGGGCTGGTCTACCTTACCTGCCAGGGATAGATTCGGTCTCTGGAACAGGCTCCGGAGGCACAGCCCAGGAGCTGGTGGAGGCCATGGGCCACTGTGTAGACAGCCCGGTAGGCGTTGTAGGCAGAGCTCATGGAGAATGCTCCAAGTGTGGGCATCTGCTGTGTCGTGAAAGCCAGACACTCTCTGCAGAGTTGGTTGCTGCTGCACCAGGAGCCCCTGGAGCAAGGCCCATGGGCCCCCTTATCTGCCTGGACATAGGCCTCTTCAAACTCCTTCAGGCCAGGGACAAGCCGCTGCTGGATGGCCACGCCCAGCACTGTGCCAATGCCCCAGATCCCGGGCAAGCTGCTGATGTGTCTGGAGATGGCCCAGTCCTCTGAGGTGATCCACATCTTGCCAGTCAGGTTGGCCAGCACCACGGACTCGAAGAACACCCTGGCCAGCTGCCTGCTGGAGAAAATGACCACCACGGTGGTCCTAGCTCAGGCCAGGTGGTGCATCATGCTCTGCATCCTCTTATTCCCCGGGCGGGCAGAGAAGGAAGGGTATGATGTCCTTGAAGGCAATGCAGATGCCCTGCTGGGTGGCCTGCTCCTCCAGTGCCTGCACCCCCAACTGCCCATAGTCATCGTTGCTGCCCACCAGTGAGATCCAGACCCACCCAAACCTCTCAGCAGCAGCACTGTGATCTCCACCTGGTGCTTATCGCTGGGGATGGTGCACAGAAAAGAGGGGTACTACCGCTTCACTCCGAGCATCACACTGCTGGCCTCGTAGCTGATCTGCGGGGGTTCAGTTTAGCAAGTTCAGTGGCATCAGTCCCAACTCAGGACCCCCCCACTTCTGGCCCTTTGCTGGGCATGGGGACCCAGGGAGGAGGGACACCTGATCCCTGCCCTGGCCCTCAAGGAGAGCCCTACTGGACGTAGGAGGCTGACAACGTACATCTGGAGAAGAGGCAGAAACCCAAGGGGAGGTTCTGAGAGAGGAAGGGGAAAGGAACAAAAGCAGCACAGAGTGAGTGAAATGACGCAGGAGGTCATATGTGGATGCCCATGCCAGAAGAAGGAGCACAAAAGTAGATGTGTCTTGGGCGCCTGGGTGGCTCAGTTGGTTAAGCGACTGCCTTCAGCTCAGGTCATGATGCTGGAGTCCCGGGATCGAGTCCCACATCGGGCTCCCTGCTCGGCAGGGAGTCTGCTTCTCCCTCTGACCCTCCCCCCTCTCATGCTCTCTGTCTCTCATTCTCTCTGTCTCAAATAAATAAATAAAATCTTAAAAAAAAAAAAAGTAGGTGTGTCTGGTCAGAGCAGGAGGCCTTAAATGTCATGCTCAGAGACTTGGTCTTTATCTGTAGGCCATGGGGAGCCCCTAAATGTTTAGGCAGAGAAGTGATATGCTATGACTTGTATTTTAGGAGTCTATCTCTGATTTCAGTGAGGAACATGTTAGAAAAGGCTCAAGACCAGAGTCAGGGAGAACCCCTAGAAGGCTGATGGAATCATCTAGATGAGAGAGCTTGGTGGTCTGAGTTAGAGCTGTGGCAGTGAAGATGGAGAAGAGCGGGTTGACTGGGCAGCATTTAAAAGGTAAAAGCAGAGGCCATGGTGATGGGCTAACTGTGGGGGTGGAGGGCAGAGGAACATGGGTAGGCCTGCCAGGTTCCTGGCTTGAGTATAGAGGCAGGTGGGCAGGAGGGTTGGATGCAGGAAGAAAAGAGACTCCAGTTGTCTAGGGAGGTAAGCTCAGTTTGGGGCCTGTTGGGTTCATGCAGTGGAGACCCTGGATGAACATCCAGAAAGGAGGCTCAGAGCTTAGAAAACAGGACAGAAGCTAGAGAACAGGAAATTGAGCCATGGGGCTCATGGCCTGTGTAGGGGTTCTGAATGAATTGCCCCAAGATACACCACTTTGGCACGTGGGTTAATTTCCAGTTGGAAATAATTAAGGCACAAAAGACTCCGGAGGAAACGTTGACATTTCCCCTAACTGCCTAAAAGAATTTAGATAGCAGGGGCGCCTGGGTGGCTCAGTCATTAAGCGTCTGCCTTCGGCTCAGGTCATGATCCCAGGGTCCTGGGATCGAGCCCCACATCGGGCTCCCTGCTCGGCGGGGAGTCTGCTTCTCCCTCTCCCACTCCCCCTGCTTGTATTCCCTCTCTCGCTGTGTCTCTCTCTGTCAAATAAATAAATAAAATCTTAAAAAAAAAAAAAAAAGAATTTAGATAGCTGACCTGCTCCAGGTTAGGGAACTGGTCACCATAGATAACTAGAGTATAATAGGAACTAGGTGTGGTGGGCAGGGGGGATCTTAGCAAAGTCCAATTTGTTAAAATTCCTCTCTATGTCCCATTGTTTCTGGATGGCCTGGCAAACATTTGTTTACTAAACATTTACTCTCTTATCTCTTCCTGTGAATTGTCTTCCTCTCCTTTGAAGTCCCAGACACCGTACCAGCTTTTCCTTCATTCAGAATAGCATATAAGCCTCATTTTGCCTGTATTTGAACCTCTCATGTTTATGTGGATTCCCTATTCGTATGTAATCTTGACTTTCTCCTGTTAATCTGTCTCATGTCAATGTTTAGACCAGCCAGAAGAATCTTGAAGAGTAGAGAAAATTTTTTACTCCCAACACCTGCCTGGGAAAGGGAGCATCCTGTACTCTGGGAATCATCCACCTTTTCAGAAGAGGTGGGGAAGAGATTCTCTAAAGGAGACTGAGGAGGAAGAGGAGGGGCCATAAGTGAGAGGGGGCAGGTCATAAATGCTGAGGAAAGAATGTCACTGAAGGACTGGTCGGGAATGTCACAGAGTTGTCATGTCAGGTAAAAGGGGCTGAGAAGCATTTGTTGGATTTGGAGACCTAGAAAGCCCTCCAGATCACAAGAACAGGAGTGGTGGGACAGCAGCCAGGGCAGGGGTTGAGAAGCAAATGACAAGAGGGAGAAGCAAACAAGACTAGAGGGCTCTGCAGGTAAGTTTTCATGGAAAGCAGGCAGAGGGAGGACCGTGCTGGGAGCAGGGGTGCCTGGAAGATGGGGAGGGATAAGGTTAGCTTACAGGTGGAGGAGGAAGCCTAGGAAAGGCTGACAAGCAGAGGAGGGGGTGAGGCCCAGGGGGACAGCACTCTGAGTAGGAGACCACACCTCTGAGGCTGAGCCTAGAAGGCAGGAAGGAAGAAGGAGGGCAGGGGAGAAGTGGAGAAGTCTGTGGGGTGGGACACAAAGGGTGTTCCATTCTTCACAAAGAAGACAGAATGGTGGGAGGAGTGTGAAGGGCAGCAGTTTCAAAGGAGAATGGGTTTTCTCAGGAGCATTGAGGCAAGGAGGTTTGGATGCAGCATTTGGGGAGGAAGAAATGGTGGAGTGGGGACTGCGATGCGGCAGGGCCCCCTGCAATGTGACTCATGAGTGGTGAGCACCCAGGAGATCCAGGGGGCCAGACTGGCCTTGGGACCCAGTGATTCCTGCCCACCACTCCCAGCCTGCACTGGACTTGCCAGAAGGGGAGACAGCATGGTTGGTGGTGTCAGGTCCAATCACCGCCAGGGCAGCAGGGGAGTAGTGGGCAGGGTTTGCTTGGATCTCAATGTGATGCGTCCCCAGTGTGGAGAGCACGTTTAGTGTGGCATACACGTTGGCTGACTCTGAGCACACGTCATACAGATGGTACCCCAGGGTGATGTTAGGCAGCAGGGTCGTGGAATTGTTGATCTCCTCAATGCCAAACCTCATGGCCTGGAAGAGGTGGTAGCCATGGCCGTTGAAGCTGTTGGGTCTGTGGAAAAAGCCAAGCTGAGAGCCAAGAAGGGCAAGGCCTTGCTGCAACTCTCTTTGGAGGGTAGAAAGGAAACTCTGAGGTCATCTGTCTAGCCCCCACAACCATGACCTCAATGTGGGCCTGGTACCATACACACAGTTGTGTTAACAGGCCTTTGGGGCAGGGGAGGGGAGACAAGTTGGAGAAACCACATCCCATGCCTTCCTGGATAAGCATATTAGCATTGAAAGCCTGATGAAGTCCTGTATCAGAGACACCTGCTGTATTAGTGTTCTCTAGAGAAACAGAACCAATTGGATATATATAGAGAAAAAAAAAGAGGTTATTTTAAGGAATTGGCTCATGTGATTGTGAGGCTGGCAAGTCTGACGTTTGCAGGGCAGGCTGGAAATTCCCTCAATGGTTGATGCTGCAGTCTTGAGTCTAAAGGCAGAATTCCTTCCTTTTTAGGGGACCTCAATCTCTTCTCTTAAGATCTTCAACTGTTTGGATGAGGCCCACCCACACAATGGAAAATAAGCTGCTTTACTCACCCTATTGATTTAAATGTTAACCTTCACAACAACATCTAGACAGGTGTTTGGCCAAACAACTGGGCACCATACCCTAGCCAGGCTGACACAAAAAGTTAACCACACACCTGTTTAACCTTGTTTAACTAGTGCTTCTCACCAGGACACTCATGAATGTAGTGAGCACCTGTGTTCCTCACTGCCTCTCAGGAACTGCTGGCTGGATCCCAAAAGGGACATGGTTCAGCTCTGCTTGAAGAGTGTGCAAGCACATTCCACTTTCTTTTTTTTTTTTTTTTTTTTTTAAAGATTTTATTTATTTATTTGAGACAGAGAATGAGAGACAGAGAGCATGAGAGGGAGGAGGGTCAGAGGGAGAAGCAGACTCCCTGCTGAGCAGGGAGCCCGATGCGGGACTCGATCCCGGGACTCCAGGATCATGACCTGAGCCGAAGGCAGTCGCTTAACCAACTGAGCCACTCAGGCGCCCACATTCCACTTTCTAGCCTCTGTGCCTGTTGGAAGGGTCTTCCATCATTTCTTTCTTTTTTTTTTTTTTTTAAGATTTTATTTATTTGACAGAGAGAGACACAGCAAGAGACGGAACACAAGCAGGGGGAGTGGGAGAGGGAGAAGCAGGCTTCCTGCTGAGCAGGGAGCCCGATATGGGGCTCGATCCTAGGACTCTGGGATCATGACCTGAGCCGAAGGCAGACGCCCAATGGCTGAGCCACCCAGGCGCCCCTCTTCCATCATTTCTATCACTTCTGTCTTTAAGTCCCTCAGAGGAAACTCAGTGCCTCCCACCATGACACCTTCTTCAGAAGTGGGTGTCCATGTGTCTCCTCTTCCCCAAATCTTCTCTTCCCAGGCTCCTATCTGTAGCTCTTGGGGCCAGTCTTCATGCACTAGGCTTTCCAGAACCTTCCTCCTGTGTGAATCTCAGATGTGTGTCATGTTTAAGGCATCCTGCCACTGAGTTCCGATCCATCCTCGAGTCTTCCCAAATCTGTGACTTGCACAGATGGCAAACAACTTATCTTCTTTAGGAGAAAAGCAGATGTTTTTCTCTACCGAGACTGTCGACTTCATGAAGGCAAGGCACCAATCTAAGATATCTTTGCTAAGTTCCTAAAGCATCTACTGCTGTTAGCCTTCCCTCTCCTCCTCATGGAAAACCACGCTTGCCATCCGGAGACTCAGGAGTTTGAACCTGGAGAGGAGCAGGGAGGGTACAGAAGCCGGGAAAAGCCATGCTTGCTTAATCCTTGCCACCTCCTTATGTCACAAAGTCTGGAAACCAACTGGAATGGGATTACAATACAAAGCACTCTAATAGCCAGGACAAAATAATGTATTACAAAGTGGAACCTGAGCAGAAGTGCCAGGGAAGGTCCAGCCAGGGCTTGAAGGTGGTGACCATAGGATGGGGAGGGACTAGAGGTGGTTCAGGAGGCAGCCCCAGAGGCAGAAAGGGCATGGTCTTCACCAAGGAGGGCAGGCAGAGGTCCTTATATTACCTGTCACAGAGAGTCACTGTGGTCCTGCGTCTCACCCCCGGACAGTGAGAGTGTACAGGGAACAGACCTGCAAGGAGGTAATCCCCAGGGAGGCTGAAGTTGGGAGACAGCTCTGTGTTGCGGCAGCTGAGGGCCCAGCAGCAGGAGAGGGAGAGCTGCAGGCTGACTAGGTGAGCTGCCAGGAGTGACATGCTGGCCAGATGGTCCTGTGCCTGGCATGGCCAAGCAGAGCCCTCTGACCAGGTTGGCTGTTTAAATAGAATAGACAGCAGCTGCCCTGATGCTTCCCAACTTCATGCCTGTGCCAGGGGTGGGGCTGAAACCCAGTTGTAGGAACCTGGCTTCTTGCCTTGGCCTTCTGGGCCTCTGGTCCTACTCAGGAACTGGGCAGGGGGAAGGCACAGATGCAAACCAGGTGGCAGCCACTGACCCCTCCTCTGCATGGTTGTGGCTTCTGTTCTTGCTCTGGTGCCTGTGGCTTCATCTGGCTCAGAAAGGGAGCCCCTCCCGGGGCGCCTGGCTGGCTCAGTGGGTTAAACAACTGAATCTGGATCTTGGCGCAGGTCTTGATCTCAGGGTCTTGAGTTAAAGCCCCACGCTGGGCTCCACCTTGGGCACGGAGTCTACTTAAAGAAAGAAAGGGAGCTCTGGCACTTGGGGGATGATGGTCAGAGGAAGGAGGCAGGGACACAGCTTCTTTGGGGGACAGAATGTGGAGGGGCTGTGGGTTTTGGAGCCTTTTACCCGGGCCTCAGTTTACCAAATGAAACAAGGCTTTGAGTTGACCTCCTCCCAGCCTCAGTTTTCGGACGCTGAAATTTTGAGAGAATCATTGTCGGCTTGCCTTGTTATCCAGGGTGGCTCCCTTCGGCCCAAAGACAACCGCATGCAAACACAGTATGCAAATAGACAGGTTTTGCTTAAACTGCCAATCCTGGTTCTTTTCCTGCGAGAAAGATTCCAAGTGGATTTCCGGAGAGGTGGCCCAGGACCCAGAGCGGGGTATCTGGCCGGGGCGGGGCCTTCGCATAATGTAAATGAAGCCCTCGGAGTGACGGCCCGGAGGGGTGTGGCCAGGCCGGCGGGAGCCTCGGAGGGGACGGCGGAGGCCCGCGTGCGCTGCCGGGGCCGCTGGCAGAGGGCGCTCGCGGCACCCAGGCCCCTTCTTTCAGCCTCTCGACGGGCCGCGGGGCGGAGCGAGCGGATCTCGCGAGATTCTCGCGCGGCTGGCGCCGGTGGCCGGCATGGCGGACTCGCCGTGGCCGCTCAAGCGCGGTCCTCTCCGCTCCACGTGGCTGCGTGCCCGCAAAACCCGGACACAGCTCGTTCTTAGCCGCCGGCCCCGCCGCCGGCTCGGGACCCTGCGCTGGTGCGGCCGGAGGCGCCTGCGGCGGCGGCTGCTGCAAGCCCAGGCAGCCGGCGCGGACTGGCGGGAGAGCGGCTGCCCGGTGCCGCGCGCGGCGACCCGGAGGCCCAAGACCGCGGCCCCGAGCGCGGCTCCGGCCGCCGCCCCCGCCCCGAGCGGCCCCGCGAGCCTCCCCATCCCGCCGGTGCGGCCGGCCGGCCCGGGCCGCGCGTGGGTGCTGCTGCCGCTCGAGCAGGTGGGTCCCGCCGGAGGAGCCGCAGCGCCGGGACTTGCGGGCTGGAGAAGGCCTTGCCCCATCTGCAGTTCTCCGGCCGCAGGTCGAGCGCGTTCCTCCTGGCGGCGTGCTGAGCGGGGGTGACTCGGACCCTGTTGCGGGATTCTAGGTCTTCAGAGCCGAGGGGGACTTCAGTAGCAGTAAATAATACTGCAAGGTCACATTTACTGCGTGCTTAGAAAGGGCCGGGCTCTGTGTTCTGAGTGTTTGAGGTTCACGAACACTTTTAATACTCTTAGCTCTCTATGGAGTCATTACCGTCATTGCCGAAAATTTACGGGCGAGGAAACTGAGCTGTGGCTTAGGTAACTTACTAAAAGGTACACAGTAGAGGCAGAGCTAGTACTCACATCCAGGCAGCCTAACTGCAGGTCCTTCGCTCTTCCCTTGCTTGCACTGGATTTCCTCCGGTGCAAGAGGAAAGTGAAAACCCAGGAATGGGAGACACTTGGCTGGCAGGGGGCCTTGGTAGAGATAGGGATCCGTGAGAACAGCAGAGCCCCGTTCATGGGACCCCCTTGTTCTTCATGTGTCGGGATACGCCAGCCATCTCTGTAGCTGTCCTGGGATATGGAATTGGGTTAGAGGTATTAAGTACCTGATGGTCACCTAGTACAATGTATTGTTGCTTGGAAATCCCCTCCCCTTCGATATGTGAATAGCAATTAAGAGTTTAGAAAACTAAAAAAGAAAAAAAAAAAAGGGAGGTGCCTGGCTGGCTCAGTGGGTGGAGCATGCTGCTCTTGATCTCAGTTGGTCACTTCCAGTCCCATCTCTGGCATAGAGTTTAGTTTAAAAAAAAAAAAGTTTAGAAAATTTCAGTTTCTAGTAACAGAATTTGTAATGTTATGTTTTCCTTTCTTTGTTCTTCCTTGCTAGGGTTTTACTTTTAGTGGGATCTGTCGTGTGACTTGCCTCTATGGCCAAGTGCAGGTGTTTGGTTTTGCCATCGGCCAAGGCCAGCCTCCCCAAGATGTCTTTTCTACCTACACCCACTCTCGATTGACTATCAATGCAGTTCATTATTCCATGCCTGAGAAAAGCAAGAAGGAGATGAAAAGGGAAGCCCGAGCTTTGCTCAGATCTCATCTTAATCGGGGTAAGAAAAGTAACTGGATAACTTTCCTCCAGTGCAAGAGGAAAGTGAAAACCCAGGAATGGGAGACACTTGGCTGGCAGCGGGCCTTGGTAGAGTACTGAGGGTGTACTATAATAAGGCTGCAATTTCTAGGTCCTTCCTATTGCCTAGACATTACACACTTTTCTGTGTTTATTTAAAGTGAAACTTGAGTGGAACTTGTTTTCACCATTTTACAGATGAGAAAAATGGCCCAAGACCACTCAGCTAGCTCTTGTGTAGCAAAAGCAAACCTGGATTGACTTCTCCAGCCAGGTGTGTTCCTGATATGCAGTATGGTTTCCTAAAGAAGGCTCTCGAACATAATTCCTGCTCTCAAAAAGTTGACAGTTCAGCTGAAAAGAAGGTAGTCCTAAATGGTGTAGAATTTAATGGAGTTACTATTTCTAAGGTAGTTTATTTTTCTTTTTACAGATGACAGATGTTGGTTGATGAAGAATTTTTCTCCTCTATGTTCCATTGTGATGCTAGAACAACTGAAAACCTCCACTGTGAACTTCTTAGTCAGCCATCCAGGTTTATCTTACGTTTTCGTACAAGAGGTAGGACTAGTTTTCATTTGGAGTTGTGCTAATTATTTTCACCAGAACAGTCACACGTCAGCTGGCTGTAGGATGCTCCCTGGGAAAATCAGTCTGTCTGTTGCATTGTAGGTTGTACACAGTGTCATTCGTGTGCACAGCAAAATAGCATAGAAAGGTGTATCATGAAAAATATTGTCTCCCCTTCCTCGTTAGTTTTATTCCCCAGTGAAAGCCATCCTTTCATATTGCAGGTGATTAAATGCCCTTTGGAAGTTTTACTTTATTTATTTACGTTTTTTCCAAAGTGTTTTTTTTTTGTTTTTTTTTTTAATTTTAAGTACCATCTACCCCTCAGCGCGGGGCTTGAACTCACGACCCGAAGATCAAGAGTTGCATGCTCTACTGACTGAGCCAACCAGGTGCCCCGCCTGTTGGAATTTTTTAAATGGTTATCTTTTTTTTTTTTTTTTTTAAGATTTTATTTATTTGACAGAAAGAGACACAGCGAGAGAGGGAACACAAGCAGGGGGAGTGGGAGAGGGAGAAGCAGGCTTCCCGCCGAGCAGGGAGCCCAATGCGGGGCTCGATCCCGGGACTCCAGGATCATGACCTGAGCCGAAGGCAGTCGCTTAACCAACTGAGCCACCCAGGCGCCCCAAATGGTTATCTTTTTATCTTGATTTATTAACTTGAGATAGTACAAATTTCCTCTATGAATATACTTCAGTGTACTTATAATTTCTCCCATCTCTCTCTTTCTTGCCTCCAAATTTTTGCTGACTGTGTTATTAATTTCTTAAAGTCAAGTTCTATTGCTATAATTGTCCCCCACGAGCCGTAAATTGAGCCTGATCTGCAGGATTATCAGGCTTATGGATGTGAGGTGTGGGGAAGAACCAAGGAATACATGCTTTTGGGTGCAGGGTGTTACTGAGATGGGGGCACTGTGGGAGGAGCAGATTTATTTACTATTTTTTTTAGGATTTCATTTATTTGACAGAGACATAGCGTAAGAGGGAACACAAGCAGGGGGAGTGGGAGAGGGAGAAGCGGGCTTCCCGCTGAGAAGGGAGCCCGAAGCGGGGCTCGATCCCAGGACCCTGGGATCATGACGTGAGCCGAAGGCAGACGCTTAACGACTGAGCCACCCAGGCGCCCTGGAGGAGCAGATTTAAATGTTCACCTTGACCTGCCTGTTAGACATTCCCTTGGAATGTTTGAATTCTGTTGGTATTTCAGCAGAATGGCCCAAAGGCTGAGAGGTGGGATAATAACACCAAGGGAGTTGATACAGAAAAACAAGGGGGTTCAAAGTCATGGCCCTTCAGCACTACCAAGAAGAGGTCTGGATGAGGGAGCAGTAGAGACTGAGAAGTAGGGGTCAGTGATGTTGGAGAAAACCAGGCGTGTGTGATCAGGAAGTCTTCAGAGGAGCTGGACAAAGAGTACAGGTCTGGTGCAGAGCCAGTAGTTGGGTGAGGGCCGTGGAGAAGGAAATGGGAAAGCTGTGTCACCAAGCCTTTGCCTCCTGCAAGTGAAGGTTCCAAACACGTTAATACTGTTTTCATTCATTTTTAGCTTTATTTTTTTTTCTGGGACTTCACCACCACTCTTTATATTCCTTATGCTCCTTCTTGGGTAACTTCCCTCCCCCACTGTGTTTTTATACGTTCTAGAGTTATTTTTTTCATACAAGACAGATAGTGAACTTTATATAATCTCATTTTATAAGATATTCTTATTTTGGCCTCCATGATTGATAGTTGAGCACAGTATAGAGTTTTTTTCCTCAAAACCTTGAAGGCCTTGCTCCACTGTTTTCTAGAATCTAGAGTTGCTGATAGGAAGTCACACACCAGACTGATTGTTGTTCCTTTTATGATGTTTTTATCCTGGGGTTGATGAATTGAATGAGGAGGTGATCATGGATGGGTCTCTTCATTGGTCTTCTTCACCACGGAAGCCTTGTTCCCTCGAGCCCCACCAGCTGCAGCAAGGGCCTGCTCCTCCATTCCTTGGGTTGGTCGGTGGCTTCCTGGTACTTCTGCAGAGCGCCCGAGGGCTTAGTGGGCCTGACTTCCACGTTCTTTCAGCCCGGTCTGCACGTGTTCATTGTCTTTTTACTTTATGTCTTTGGAGACGGCCTTGATTTTGTTCTGAAGCACCAACCTGTTCAACAGCTGTGGTCTCTTTTGAATTGTTCTTGTGGCAATCGTTTTTTAAACTCGCACACATTTTCCTTTCCTTCGGGGTCTCCTGCAGAGGTGATGGCAGCTTGGAAGTACATGTGAGCCAGGAGGACAGGTACGGACGACTGAAGGAACAGCTGATGAGACTCACTGAAGGGATGGCTGTGGGGGTGAGAGGGTGGGCTCAGATCTACCTTTCATAGCTCACGACTGTTTGAGGCTTACTGATTTAAAACTGGAGGAAGAAACGTGCACTTGTGTTCATGTTTTCTTAAAACTTAAATTGTTCATTTCAGAGTCCAACCTTCCAGATTAACTCTGAACATATAGCCCTGAGGTCTGTTGGCATTAGAAGAGAGAAGAAGAAAAACGGCCTTCGTTTGACAGAGAGTGCCTTGTCGGCCATGGAGGAGTTGGTCACCGTGTCCTGCGGTGAGTGATACCTGGGGGTAAAGGGAGCATTCATCCCCCAGGGCCTCAGAGGATCACGATTTACAGGTAGAGCCCTAACGAAGGTGGCTAATTTGAGGTTTCAATGTTTGTTTTGCCTCCAGAAGAAGTAGACGGCTGCCCTGTCATTCTTGTTTGTGGCTCTCAGGACGTCGGAAAGTCAACATTTAATAGGTACCTCATTAACCAGTTGTTAAATAGGTAAGAGTGTTTTTGTTTTTGTTTAGATACATTATTAGATTAGGGTCATGAAATAGGATTTTTGATTTAAGAAACTAGATGGGAATGCTTCTTGACTTCTCAGTAGAAATTATCTACAAGTCTATGCAAAGCAGCTCAGCGGAGTGATGGCACTCTCCGTTAGGCTGTGTTTTGGAGTGAGGCACATCGGCCTCTCGGGGTGAACTGACCGTGCTTATCAGTGAGTGTGCAAGAGGAGTCACCTGGTGTCAGAATCTGTGTTTGTCCATACCCAGAGGTTCAGAGTAGGGAGCAATTTTGTTGTGTTTTAAAGATCAGATTTTAGGAAAGACAAAGGTGTATGCATATTACAAATGGGTACTATGACCATTCCTGCATCACATTTTCTTTTTACTTTTTTTTTTTATGTTGATTGCCATCTTTGGAGCATTCTACCTAAAAGGCTGCATAGGGTGGATTGTGCCTGTGTATTGCATAAAGTCTGTAAGATCTGATTTATTCTTTTGACAGAGTAAAGGTAGTTGAGATTTTCCTTATTCCTTTCAAATTTTCAGTATTTCCTGCGTTGACTATTTGGAATGTGATCTGGGACAGACAGAATTTACGCCTCCAGGTTGCATTTCTTTACTTAATATTACAGAGCCAGTTCTAGGTATGTATTACACATTTCTTTGATGTCTTGGTTTTATAAAACAAATATAATGATCTTACAAAAAACTAAAAAAATGTAAGGGGCATCTGGCTGGCTCAGTTGGTGGAGCATGCAGCTCTGGGATCAAGTCCTGCATCAGGCTCCCTGCTCAGTGGAGAGCCTGCTTCTCCCTCTCCTTCTCCTGCTCCCCCTGCTCGTGCGCTCTCTCTCTCTCACTGTCTCTGTCAAATAAATAAATAGATAGATAGATAGAATCTTAAAAAAAAAGCAACAACATATAATGATGTACACCAAGAAATTGCATTGACATGATACTATTAGCCAAACCATGGATTTTATTCAAAATTCACTGGTTATCCTACTAATGTACTTTTTCTGGTTCAGACTCCAAACCAAAGTCCCATGTTGCCTTTTTTTTAAATGGTAAAATATGCACAACATGATATTTACGGTTTTAACTGTCGATACGTGTACAATTCAGTGACATTAAGTGCATTCACGGTGTGCTATACCCTTCACCACTGCCTATATCTGAAACTTTTTCATCATTCCGAACTGAAACGGTGTTCCCATTAGAGAACACTTGCCCCCTCCTGCTCTCCTTCCAGCCCCTGCTAACCTCTGTCCTAGTCTCTGTCCCTATGAATTTGCCTACTCCACATACCTCATGTAAGTGGAAACACTATTTGTCCTTCTTGTGTCTGTTTTGGGTTTTTTTTACTAAGCATAATGGTTTTTCTTCTTTTTGCTTATTTTTTTGTTTTTTATTTCAATCCAGTTAACACAGTGTTATATTAGTTTCAGATGTACAGTACTGTGATTCAGCACTTCCATGCATCACCCAGTGCTCATCATGACAATGCCCTCCTTCATCCCCATCACCTAATTTCCTCCATTCCTGGCACCCTCCAGACATGTGTTTTAAGATAGTCCATATTGTAGCAGATAATCAAAATTTATTTCCTTTTTGTGGGTGAGAATCATTCCATTGTATACATGGATCACGTTTTGTTGACACGTTCAGCTGCTGATGGACAGTGGGATTCTTGCCACTTCCTGGCTCCTGGGAGTAGTGCCGCTGTGAACATCAGCGTACAAATGCCTGTGCAGGTCTCTGCTTTTAGTTTTTTCAGATGGACACTTGGAGGAGAATTTCCGGGACGTGTGGTAACGCCGAGTTTAGCCTTTTGAGAAACCGCCAGCCTGTTTTTTACAGTGGCTGCATTTTGCATCCCCATCCGCAGGGGCTCTCACTTCTCCACATCTTGTCATCTTGATCACAGCCGTCCTGTCATATGTGCACTGATAACTCACTGTGGCTTTGATTTGCCATTTCCCTGATGGCTGATGATGTTGAGCCTCTGTTCCTGTGCTTGTTGGCCTTTTGTAGATCTTTGGAGAAATGTCTGTGAAGTCCTTCGCCCATTTTTTGAATTGCATTGTTAGTGAGTTTTAGGAGTTCTTTGTATATGTTCTGAGTGTTAATCTCTTATCAGATAAACAATTTGCAAACATTTTTTCCCATCTTTTAAGTTTTCTTTCCATTTTCTTGATGGTATCCTTTGATACACAAAAGTTCTTAATTTTTATGAAATCCAGTTTCCTTTCCTTTTTTTTTTCCGGTTTATTTTTTCTTTTGTTGACATTCCCTTGATGTCATATCCACAAAGTTGCTAAGTCCAATGTCGTAAAGATTTTTTTCTAATGTTCTTGGAGTTTTGTAAGTTTTAGCTCTTACATTTAAGTCTTTGGTCCATTCTGAATTAATTTTTGTATATGATATAGGGAAAGCATCCAACATCATTTTTTTGCATGTGGATGTCTAGTTTTCCAATTATTTGTTGAAGACTGTCCTTTCCCCCGTGGAATGGTCTTGGCACCCTTGTGGAAAAGCATTTGATCATACATATGAGGGCCTGTTTCTGGGCCCTGTCTTTTATTTCATTGGCTTGTATATCTGTTTTTATGCCAGTTCTGTGCTAATGGAGGAATGTGAGTCCTCCCAACTTCATTCTTTTTCAAGATGGTTTTGGCCATTTGGTACCCTTGCAATGCTGTATGAATCTGAGGATCAGCTTTTCCATTCCTACGAAAAGGCTGTTGAATTTTTTTTTTAAAGATTTTATTTATTTATTTGAGAGAGAGAGTGAGAGAGGGAACACAAGCAGAGGGAGTGGGAGAGGGAGAAGCAGGCTCCTGGCCGAGCAGGGAGCCTGATGCGGGGCTCAATCCCAGGACCCTGGGATCATGACCTGAGCCGAAGGCAGATGCTTAACGACTGAGCCACCCAGGCACCCCAAGGCTGTTGAATTTTGGTAGGGATTGCATTGATTGAATGTGTAGCTCACCTTGGGTGACATTGACATCTCGATAATGATAAATCTTCCTATACATGAACACAGGATGTCTTTCCTGTTAAGTTTTTTTAAATTTCTTTCAGCAACTTTTTTAAAGATTTTATTTATTTATTCATGAGAGACAGAGAGGGAGGCAGAGGCCTCCCTCCATTGAGCAGGGAGCCCCATGCAGGACCCAGTCCAAGGACCCTGGGATCATGACCGAGCTGAAGGCAGACACTTAACCTACTGAGCCACCCAGGCGCCCCTCTTCCAGCAATATTTTGTGGTTTTCAGTGTGAGTCTTTCACTTGGTTAGATTAGTTCCTAAGGGTTGGATTCTTTCACTTAACTACCATAATGGAATTGCTTTCCTAATTTCTTTTACAAATTGTTCACTGTTAGTGTATAGAAACACATGATTTTTGTGTATTGACTGTGTAACCTGCAACTTTGCTGAATTCCTGTATTAGCTCTAGTAGGTTTCTTGTGGATATTTTTGGATTTTCTAGATAGAAGATCATCATCTGTGAATAGAAATAGTTTCACTCTTCCTTTCCAGTCTGGATGCCTTTGATTTCTTGTCTCCTAGCGCTCTCAGGCTGGAACCTTCAGTACAGTGCTCAATAGAAGAAAACATTCCTTTCTTGTTCCTCACCTTAGAGGGAATGTTCTTCACCAGAAGTATGCTGTCATTTGTGGGTTTTTGTCGTTCCCCATCGTCAGGCTAAAGAAGCTGCCTTCTATTTCTAGTGTGTGGAACGTTTGTATCATGAAAGTGTTGGACTTTGTCAGGTGCTTTTTCTGCGTCTGTCGGGATACTTGTGTGATTTTTGTTTAGTTGACTTTTAAGCAGATGATAGATCAGGTTGCTGGATTCGTTGTGGATTTAATAGACTTTTTGACAAAAATAAGTAGGGCATTCATACTGTTTTTACAGTTTTATCAAAACTGTTTGTTTAGATTTTGCTTTATAGCTGGTTTCATTGTTCCTTCTTTTCTTTTTTTTTTTTTTATTAAAGATTTTTATTTATTTATTTGAGACAGAGAGAATGAGAGACAGAGAGCATGAGAGGGAGGAGGGTCAGAGGGAGAAGCAGACTCCCTGCCGAGCAGGGAGCCCGATGCGGGACTTGATCCCGGGACTCCAGGATCATGACCTGAGCCGAAGGCAGTTGCTTAACCAACTGAGCCACCCAGGCGCCCTGTTCCTTCTTTTCTTTTACATTTTCCCTAGTCCATTTACTTTTCTTTTCTTTTTTCACACCTTAATATTTCAACAGGTGTTTCCCCAGACAAAGACGCATTATGATACGTAGTCATAATGCAGCCACCAAGTCAGGGTAGCAGTTTGGCCCTGGTACTGTTCCCTCTTCTGTCCTCCAGCCACCTGCCCGGGCCCAGTGTGTATTTGCAAATCTTTAGTCTTCTCCAGTCTGGAGCATTCCCTCCAGCTTTTCTTATCTTTTATGACCTTGGCAGTTTGGAAGAGTACATTTATCGGATGTCCCTATGGTTTGATTGAGATGTGGTGCTGTGTTCTCAATGCATCATATCAACAAGCTGTCAGTTTGCCCTGTTACCAGAGAGGTTAACTCTCATCATTTGGTTAAGATAAGTGTTTGCCAGCATTTTCCACTCTGCCTATAATGAAGTGTGTTATTTCTTCTGGGGTGTGACTGTAGGCTCCCCTCAGTGGACAGAGCTAGGAAGTATATGCATGCTTAGACCCATACATGCACATACGTGTGTATGTATGGGTATATGCATATGTATGTGTATATACACTGCATGTATATCTCTTTGTATGTATGTTTTCTGTGTATTAAGAGCCACGAGTTTACTGCGATCATTCCAATTCCAGTCTGACAGCCCGGGTTTATTCTAGTTAGCCTTTCCCCTTCCATATTTATAAGTTTCTTTTTTTTTTTTTTTAAGATTTTATTTATTTATTTGACAGAGAGAGAGATTGCACAAATAGGCAGAGTGGCAGGCAGAGGGAGAGGGAGAAGCAGGCTCCCCACGGGGCAGGGATCCCGATGCAGGGCTCAACCCCAGGACCCTGGGATCATGACCTGAGCCGAGGGCAGACACTTAACCGACTGAGCCACCCAGGTGCCCCCATATTTATAAGTTTCATTTCTGATGATAAGAACTGTGGCTATGATTATTGTCCACGTATTTACATATTTACTCAGAGCCTTTGTATTTGTTCAATCCCTCTGCTGTGCAGGCCACTTCTTCAGCTGTGGGCCGCCCCAAATCCCTGTACCCCACCCTTGAGGGGAGCCTCGCCAGCCCTGTCCCAGTGGCCTTGCACCAACCACATTAACCAAGGCCCTCACCCTGCCGACTGTTGGCATGTGGTCCTGGTCACCAGCCTGCTGAGTGAGTTCCCAGCCCCAACCAGAGAGGGGAGTTGGCTCAGGCTCGACAGACCGGTGCTGCAAGTTAGGAGCATCTGCCCTGGAGTTGGCTCACCTGAGTTCAAGCCCAACTGATACTTACTCGCTGTGTGACCTTGGTCAAGTTAAAAATGCAGATAGTAACACTACCTACCTCATAGGGTTTTTATGAACATCAGAGACTACATGTGAAGTAGATGGGACATAGTAAGTGCTAGATTCCAGCAAGTGATTATTGTTCTTATTTGTTCTTTCATTAGAACGTCAGCCCTATAAGGATGGGTGTTGCTTTGTTCACAGGTGTATCCTAAGTATCTAGAACAATGCTCAGAGTGTTACATGTGCTCAGTAAATGTTTGTTGAGTGAATGGTCATATTAGGACAGAATTGGAATTAACTATATGTAAAAATGAGCATGTCTTTGTATGAAGTTGAAAGCTTAGATTTTTTTTTTTAAGATTTTATTTATTTAAGAGAGAGCGAGCATGAGCAGGGAAGCGAGGCAGAGGGAGAAGCAGACTCCCCACTGAGCAGGGAAGCCCAGTGGGGGGCTCGATCCCAGGACGCTGGGATCATGACCTGAGCTGAAGGCAGACACTCAACCGACTGAGCCACCCAGATGCCCGGAAAGCTTAGATTTCTGAAAATGGGATACAACTATTCCTAGTGGTAGAATGGTCTGGTAGGATGGTCTTTGATTTCCTAAGGATCTTTGTCACTGGTGATGGCTGGAGAAAAACCCTCACCTCCTTTTAAATAGTCACAGATTCAAACTCTTACTTTTATCTTCCTAGGACCACCTTTCACCCACCAGAGGACACCACAGAAAATGGTATATTATGGGAAACCTTCTTGTAAAAACAACTATGAAAATTATATTGAGATAATAAAGTATGTGTTCAGCTCCTACAAGAAAGAGTCCCCTCTCATCGTCAACACAATGGGCTGGGTGTCAGGTAAGCCTGGGAAGGCACATCTGGCCGGAAAGGTGGGGCCGTGTGAATAAGCTTTTGGCTTCAGGCAGTAAAGCTGGAGCCCAGTTTTTAGGAGATTTCTTCTTCGGGATCCTTTCTTTGTCTCAGAACAGCTGTGCCATGTTCTTATAGGAGTGTGTCACTATTTTAGTAGCGTACCAACTGCCCGTGTCCTCCTCCTCACAGACAAAGGGCTTTTGCTTCTCATCGATCTCATCCGGTTGCTGTCTCCCAGCCACGTCGTGCAGTTCAGTTCTGGCCGGAGTAAATACATGCCGAACCTGACCCCTGACTATGTGGACGATATGGACGGCCTGTACACCAAGAGCAAGTCCAGAGTCAGAGACAGAGGTTTCCAACTGGCAGAGTTTACAGAGAGTTTGGAATTTGCTGACGAAGAAAAGGAGAGTCCAGTTGTGTTCACTGGACATAAGCTGATATGCGTCCAGTCGGACTTTGCGTTTAGGAAAACTCCGAGAAACAGGTAATTAAACTGTCATGGCTGGAGAATGAAGTTCTGTTCAGTTCAACAAGGCCTTCTGCCCTCAATTCCTTAAGAGGAATAAGTCTTCCACAAGTTTTTGAATCTGTCTCACAGCCCTATGTTCATGAAGGAGAATCTGTTCTGTTCTTTTTTTTTTTTTTTAAAGATTTTATTTATTTATTTGAGAGAGAGAGAATGAGAGACAGAGCATGAGAGGGAGGAGGGTCAGAGGGAGAAGCAGACTCCCCGCCGAGCAGGGAGCCCGACGCGGGACTCGATCCTGGGACTCCAGGATCATGACCTGAGCCGAAGGCAGTCGCTTAACCAACTGAGCCACCCAGGCGCCCGAATCTGTTCTTTTCTGAGCTGTTATTGTCCCAATGGAAACACAGACAACCTCTGACTTAAGATGGTGTGACTTTCAATTTTCCCACTTTACGTTGGTATTAAAGCAATACACGTTCGGTAGAAACTGTACTTTGAATTTTGGTCTTTTCCTGGGCACGCACGATGCGGTATGACCCTCTGTCCTAGTGCTGGGCTTCGGGTCAGCCCGGAGGGTGAGCCATGGGTACAGACGCCATTCTGCGCCCATACAATGTAGGCTCTGTGTTAGGTGATTCTGCCAGGCTGGAGGCTAATGTGAGTGTCCTGAGCACGTTTAAAGTAGGCGAGGCTAAGCAGTGACGTCCCGTAGGCAAGGTGTCTTTTTTCTTTCTTTTTTTTTAGTTTTAGTTTTTTTTAGTTTTTTTTTAGGCTTCCTGCTGAGGAGGGATCCCAGGACTCTGGGATCATGACCTGAGCTGAAGGCAGACACTCAATGACTGAGCCATCCAGGCGCCCCTGGTAGGCGAGGTGTCTTAAAGGCATTTTCGACGTCTGATATTTTCCCCTTTTTGTGGGTGAATGAAGATGGAACTCCACTGTAAATTGAGGAAGACCTGTATCCAGAGGTGGCCTTCAGCTCTGGTTGCCAAGAGCTTTTATTGAAGGAGAGTCTTTACATGTCATGTTTCTCCAGTGGGTTTATAGAAAGGGTCTGCAGGGGCGCCTGGGTGGCTCAGTTGGTTAAGCGACTGCCTTAGGCTCAGGTCATGATCCTGGAGTCCCGGGATCGAGTCCCGCATCGGGCTGCCTGCTCGGCAGGGAGTCTGCTTCTCCCTCTCCCACTCCCTCCCCCTGCTTGTGTTCCCTCTCTCGCTGTGTCTTTCTCTGTCAAATAAATAAATAAAATCTTAAAAAAAATAAAAAATAAAAAAAGAAAGGGTCTGCAGATGTTAAGGTGGGAATGTGTGATCTCTCTACACGTAACCTGTGTAATGACCAAGGGACTCTGTTTCTGAGGTTAAATCTCTGTTTACTTCATTCTGATTTACTTTGCAGAGAGTCGCATAACAAAGTGCTTCGAGATTTGGCGGTACTAGGTTACCTCGGCCAGCTGCAGCCTCCAGTGCCGAAACCGCTTTGTCCTTTACACGGTCTCACACCCTATCAGGTAACCTCACCTTGGATGAGGGATTCTCAGTGGATGTAACAAGCCCTCGTGGGCCTTCCTGTGCGTGTTCTCCAGCCACTTTATGCTGCTTCGCTCGTCTTATCCTTAGAACGGCCCTGGGGCGTAGGTTCTGTAGCTACCTCAGTTTACAGACGGGAGGTCGAGTAATCTAGCTCAAGAGTCCATGCTCCTAGCTGCTGTCCTGCGTTGGGCACGACTGTGCTCCGTGCTGGTTATTAAGAATGTTCTGCCTGACCCCAGAGGTGGCACCGGGCAGTCCAGCTCCAGCGCTCCCACTGTTTAGCTGTGTGTGAGTCCATGTCTTACCTGGAGAAAGGAGGCTGTGCCAGACCTCAGAGGATGGTTGTATGGGCTCAGTGAGCGTTCGCAGTGGCTCCTGGCATCTGGGGACCACTCTTTTGTTGTTGTTGTTGTTATTTTTTTAAAATGTAGTCTCCATGACCAGTGTGGAAACCCAATGCCGGGCTTGAATTCACGACCCTGAGATCATGACCTGAGTTGAGATCAAGAGTCAGACACTTAACCGATTGCGCCCCCTGGAAACCACTCTTGAAAGCATTTCATACTATTGTCAAAAGTGGATTCTAGGGGCCCCTGGGTGGCTCAGTTGGTTAAGCGTCTGCCTTCGGCTCAAGTCATGGTCCCACGGTCCTGGGACTGCACCCCGCATCAGGCTCCCTGCTCAGCAGGGAACCTGCTTCTTCCACTCCCCTTGCTTGTGCTCTCTCACTCTTTCTCTCTCAAATAAATAAAATCTTTTTTTTTTTTTTTTTTTAAGATTTTACTTATTTATTTGACAGAGATAGACACAGAGGGAACACAAGCAGGGGGAGCGGGAGAGGGAGAAGCAGGCTCCCCGCTGAGCAGAGAGCCCGATGTGGGGCTCGATCCCAGGACCCCGGGATCATGACCCGAACCGAAGGCAGATGCTTAACGACTGAGCCACCTAGGTACCCCTAAATAAAATCTTTAAAAAAAAAAAGATGGATTCTAGCACCAGAGTATTTGCATTTTGGAATCCTAGCTCCTTAGAATTATTTTGGGAAGAAACCACCATGATATTAGAATTCCAGATGACTAAAGATTAAAATAGCAATAGGTGGCATTTCCTAAATGCTTACCCTCTGCTGTGCTCAGTTCTAAGCCTCTTAACTTCTTTACTCACAATGGCTTTGTTATTACCCCATTTTACAGATGCTAGAACTGAGGTCAGGGACACTGAGTCAGCTTGCCCGAGGTAGCTAGTAAAAGTTTGGGCTGGGACTGGAGCCCAGAGTATTCACCCTCTGCTGTCCATACTAAGCACTCCCTGTGTGCTGGGTGTTCTGCTAAGCACTTGAGATGGAACAGCTCGATGGATTCGTGGCCTCCCAGTGAGAGAGAGGCTCTTTCATTCCCTGTTTACAGCTTTGGCGACGGGCACAGGCAGGTGGAGACCCTGGCCTGCGGTCACACTCCAGAGGCACTCCTGAGGCAGGAGCAGTGGGGCTGGCCAACGAGGACGTGTCTCTCAGGCCTGATGGTGAGATATCTCCTGGAGAATCTCAGGCAGTTAGTTGAATGAACTTTTGGTCAATGGGGTCATTTACTCAGAGATGCTCTACAATGGAACTTGAAGCTTATCTACCAGTAATTGCATCTGCCTTTTGCTATTTCAAATTTGGTTTTGGAATCTAAACAGTATAACAAAATACTTTTGTACTTTACAAATCGGGAATTACCCAGAGAGTTACACGTTAAAGGTAGTTACAATTGACCTTTAAACAACACCGGTTTCAATTGCACGGGTCCACTTACATGCAGGGTTTTTCTTGATAAATACAGTCAGTCCAGTGTTGTAAATGTATTCTTCCCTGTAATTTTTTAAATAACATTTTTTTTTCCAGCCCACTTTATCGTGAGAATATACTATATAATACATTCAACACACAAAGTATGTGTTAATCGACTGTTATGTTATTGGGAAGGCTTCTGATCAACAGGAGGCTCTTAGCAGTTGAGTTTTTTTGGGGGGGTGTGGCCAGAAGTTATTTGTTGATCTTTGACTGCATGGGGTGGGGCGTCAGTGCCTCTAGCCCCTGTGTTGTTCAAGGCTCCACTGTATTTATCTTGTGCTCCTGGAGTTCAATCCATTTTTCTTAATTCAGTATGTTACATAGAGAATAGATGGAGGCTTTTTTCCACTGAATGGAGGTTTGCTTTCTGACATTGGGAGACCTCTCAGCGAGTGGGGTTTTCTCAGTCCCCCCTGACTTTAACGCATTTAGGATATCTTCAGATTTGTGTCTTAATGTGTCTCTTTAGATAAGAAAGTTCCAGGCATCAGTTTGGATTTCTAGCAAGTGTTGGCTGGCGAAGAACTTTGTATGAATTTCTTAGGTACTCTGTATTAAAGTAGTGAAACACTGACCAGTGTTTGTTAGCATTTCTGTTTAGATACTTTTTGGTGGGCAGTTTGGCCAATATAACTTCAGATACCTGCCTAGTCAACTTATAAAAATTAAAAGTAGCCTTTCCGGTAGAATTAATAGAGGGAGGTGCACATTTATTTTCCAGGTCCCTTTCAATGCGGTTGCACTCCGGATTATTCATGCTGATGTCGCTCCTACCCATATATTATACGCTGTGAATGCCAGCTGGGTTGGTCTTTGCAAGATCCTGGATGATGTCAGAGGATACGCAAATGGTCCCATCCTACTCGCCCAGACTCCAATCTGTGATTGTTTGGGGTTTGGTGAGTGAAAGTAAAACATGTCTATATACTTACTGAAATCAATCCCCTTCTCCAACTGTATGTGACTGGTCTTGACCTTGGATCTATCTCTCGGCTGGAGTGGTCAGAGTGTCTCTGGCTTCTAGACAGTGTGCCTGGGGGCTGGTGGGCAGGAAAGAAGCAGCATTTTCTCTGCTTCTCCTGCCAAGATTCCTAAGGGCCTGGTCATGGCCTTCTTGTCACTTGACATGTTTTCCCTAGGCCATCTGTCCATCTGCTAGGGCCCTCCATCCATCTTTAGGCTGACTTCCCACAGGATCTCTATAGCACGACTGTGTGTCTGAACTCCAGGCCCAGCTCGCTTCTCCACTTGGGTATCTCACCGGCATCTGAGACTTAGGTCCAAGACTGAGGTCCTAATTTTCTCCCCAAATCCCCTCCACCCTGCACCATCTCCTGTTCCCAGGCCTGTGAGGAGTCCTTGGAAGATTCACTCTGGTGTTCACGCCAGACCTTTGGGTCTACCTTGGCACCCCCTTGCCTTCATTCGACACATCCAACCCCCTAGCAGGGGTGGTAGCTTGTTTCTGAAACCCCTCTGATTTCTCTGTCTCATCTCTTCTTACTCTGCCAGTCAGAGCCACCGTTTCTGTGCTGGGCTTGGCACCTTTGGGTGATCTGAGGACAGATGTATGTCACGTTCTGGTGCCCCCATCACTCAGGCCCAGGACCATTGGCCTGGCCGTGTTTAGGCCCTTCCTCCTTCGCCAAGCCTACCTCACGTGATTGTCCCCCTGGCTCACTGAGGTCAGTAAATGTCAGGGTATGTTTCTGGAAGGGTGCTGGACCTATGTAACCGAAAATTAGCAAAACTCTTAGGTAATCAAATACACGTTTCTGAGTTAGACAATACTACTTCAGAAACTGTGTCACCTGGTACAGACCGTGAAGAAGGAGTTGAGGATGGGGAAGGATTGAGTCGTTCACGTGTTCCGCACGGTGGCTTTTCTTCCTGGCCTGGGTGTGCCTTACTTGAGACAGTCTAGGACTTTGGCCACTTTGGTTGCTCATGGCTGAACAAGGGGAAGGGTTCCAAGAGATGGGAGATTTGACGAGTCTTGACCAAGAGTAGTCAAATTCTCCCATCTCTTGAAACTTTATATTTTCAAAGCAAAACACGGTTGAAATTGAAATTCTTATTTTAAAAGCCATTCTACAATTCTCAGTGGTAGGGAGGTATATCTTCCAGAAAGGATTATTTGTGTGTGTTTTGTGTCTTCAAGGAATTTGTAGAGGGATCGACATGGAGAAGAGGCTTTACCACATCCTCACTCCTGTGCCCCCGGAGGAGCTAAGAAATGTGAATTGTCTGCTGGTCGGAGCCATTTCCATTCCACAGTGTGTCTTCAAGAGCCAAGTGAGTGCCACTTCCAGGGGCAGCCCTGGGGGTAGCCAGAGAGCGTCATGGGGACAGGTTATTGTGCGGGAACTCCACACTTTGTTGGAGAGGCTGAACGTGGCAAATGGAGTGTCTGGGTGGCCTCAGAGGCCCATGGCCATGAATTGCCATCATTAGTGGCCAGGAGCCCCGTGGTAGAGCCATTATCCCAGAAGTAGGTTATGGGAGGGGAGAACAGAGGTGGTCTCCCCAGGATGACTCCTTCCTGACGCCGGTCTGTGGGTGCACCTATGAGAAGGTCACGGGAAGGTCATGTTGGCTGAGGACATCTGTGTGGTGGCGTGGGGAGGCAGTGGATGTTCTCCCCTCTTAGCTGCTTAACTTGTTCGAGAGAGAGGCGCAGCCACGCCTCCCCCTCACACTCTTGTGCTGGTCGATGTGTTTGTGCAGTTGAATTGGACAGAAAGGCGGCAGTCACCTTTGTACCTGGGCCGTTGGGTCAAGTGGACCCTCTGCAGGAAGAGGGACCAGAGGTCTTAGGAGTGCAAGGACCTCACTCAGACTCTCCCTTTTCACAGTATTTTCTGGGGAAGAAATGAAATGCTGCAAACTCTAATTGGCAGGATTTGGGGTGTTTCCATACGTTCTCTTCATGTTTCTGTTTCAGCATGGGCTCGAAGGGACAATACCTTACATCACCACAGATTATAACTTTAAACTTCCTGGAGCATCAGAGAAAATTGGAGCAAGAGAAACCGAGGAGACACGTGAAGAGAAAGTACACCCCAAACCCAAACTCTATCGAAAGATAAACTGATGCTGACGTCATAGTAAGGGAAGGAGCTTTTACCGGAAAACTGGACTCCGTCTCCAGCCTGAAGTCAGACTGATGGCGATGGCAGGGAATGGTGCACTTACGTTGCAAACAGTGTTTCTTGTGTAACTCGTGGATCTAGAGTCAGTTTAACTCTTTTGAAAGCTCCATGACATAGAGTTTTGCCCTAGTGTTCTGTATGCTTCTTCATACTTACTGTTTTATTTTCTTTTTTTTTTTTTTTTTTTTTTTTTTTAGATTTTATTTATTTATTTGAGAGAGAGAGAATGAGAGAGAGCACACGAGAGGGGGGAGGGTCAGAGGGAGAAGCAGACCCCCCGCTGAGCAGGGAGCCCGATGCGGGACTCGATCCCGGGACTCCAGGATCATGACCTGAGCCGAAGGCAGTCGCTTAACCAACTGAGCCACCCAGGCGCCCCTTACTGTTTTATTTTCTAAAGGGTTAAAGCTTCAGGGAGAAGTTTGTACACCATTAAAACAGAGAGAACACTGTTGATTCCTCACCAAGCTCTTCAAAGACCTGGTTGTTGGAATCTGAATAAAAATAGGGAAACTGGGGCCACAAAAATCTACCAAAGAGGAAGGAGGGCTGGCCAGCGGGCTCGCGAGCATAACAGGATATGGGGGCTCCCCTGGTCCTCGCCCATCGATGACAGACAGGCAGGAGGTCCCAGCAGCAGGGTCTGCCTGTGGTCGGTCACTGCCGGGGGTCATGCTCATCCCTTGCTTATCTGATGCCGTCCACACACACTTTCATTCCCATGGTCCAGTGTTCAAAGATCACGTTCGGTCTATTCAGTGTAATCAAGGTTTCATAGATAAAACGTTTGGATTCAAGAGCCATTCGTTTTTTGGGTTTTTTTTCATCTGATGACTTTATGCTGAAAGAATTGCTCTCAAATCCAGGAAACCTTTCCTGTGGTCTCTTTAGAATGAGCTCTGTCCTAATTGACTTCTCACCTGAGACCAAGGACACGCTGTGGGCAGCACTGGACACCAGGCTGTTTGGAAGAAGGACCAGCAGAGCAACGCCTGGAAAGCCCCATCTTGCCTTTTATGGCTGGACCAGAACTTGTACCTGCAGATGAGTCTGCCATTTAGCGCTTTCTCCAAGGGGGGACAGGAGGCCAGTGATGATGCTGTTCTTCCGGATGGCTTTGGGGGAAATGATGGAAACCCATTGTTTGTCTTCTTCCTGGTTGTCACAATTCTTGATCCTCCAGGGTCAGAAGTGATTTTGGTAACCAAGGATATCAGGTGGGGTCACGTCATTTGTGCGTTTAAATCTGTGAGAGTCTTACTGAGGTAGCATTTCAAACTCGTGGATTCAGCTTCCTACAGATTATGTGGAAGGCTGGTTATTCGGATGTGGGTTTTAACGTCTCTGTTCATTTAAACTGTCGGTTTTTGTCCTGATTCTTCTGGTGGCCCCTTGGCATCTCAGACCCACGCTTACACGTCCTCCCTGGAACTCTGCCACCCCCCAGGGTTGGTTTTGATTCCCTAGAGACTGTTCAAGGTCTAACTTCGTTGTGTCTTATTTATATCTAAATTTACCTTGTGCATGTTTTCTGTCTTGGTCTTGCCAAGAATTTTGACAATCTGCCGTCATCAGCGATACTCAGTCTAGGTCCCGGGCGGCAGGTCTCAGGAGGAATGAAAGCAGTGCCCCAGCATTCCGTTCCATGCAGGCTTGCCTTGGGCCTGCTGTCCTGCTCTCTTGAGGGCCATGCATGTGGAGGAGGCAGGCATTGCCACTAGAGGGAGCTGCCAGCTGCTGGTCTGGAGGGCGGGGGGGGCAGGCGTGCCTGGGAGCCTGCCTGGGATTTCCTGAGGGCTCAGGCATCCTGGAGACTTGGCTCTGTGGCCGGCTCAGGGGCCCTGGTCAGACTCGCAGCCATGCCATCCACCCTGGATGTCTGTCCCTGTGATTGTCGACATCAGCAGCTGGGGCTTTTTGTCATTCCTATCATCCTTTGGTTCAGAATATGGTGGTAAGTTCTACACTTGAGTTATTCTTAACAAAAACTCAATCTCATGTGTGTGTGTGTGTGTGTGTGTGTGGTGTGTGTGTGTGTGATTTCCAAAGTAGCCCATGCTTATTTTAAGAAAAAGAAATAACATGACTTAGAACTTGAAAGCCTAGTTGCTGATTTTGTGGTTCTTTAAAGCCAGTTCTTTAGAAGAGATTCCTTTATAGGAAAGATAGATGTGAAAATAAATGACAAGATTCTTGGATTCTGGGGTTTTAGTTTGTAAACAAAGGTCAGTTCCCAGCTGTCCTCTGTTGGGCCTGGGGGCAGGAAGTGGCAGACCCTCGAAAGCATGGCCTGGAAACGAGAAAGGGGAGAAGGGTGGTTGAGCGGGCCCTTCAGGTGCCGTCACTGTCTGAGAAGTCGGTCTGGGAGAGGCCTGGGCCGGGACCCCTGGGACGGGTGGCTGCCTCCATGCCACACCTGGGATTTCTGCCCCGTGGGGGTTGAGTGCCTTGAGATGCAGGCCCAGGTTCCTTTCCTTGTGCCAGAGAGTGGTGTTTTTTTGTTTTAATTGTCTAATTGGTAGTTTATCCCTCAGGTTTGGATGTGGCAATAATAGTGATTAAGGCAGTAGGCTTTGATATTAGAGCTCTGAGTTGGAATCCTGAGGGGCCCTGGCCAGCCATGTGACTTTGCGGGAGACACTCAACCTCAGCCTGTTGGCGTCTTCAAGATGGGCTGGTGGCTGTTCCTCAGGGTGCCTGGTGGGGGGTACACGAGGCTTGTCTGTACGTGGCGGGCAGTACCCTGAGAAGGCAGGGACCAAGATTGTATTCCTCACAGTCACATTGGGATGAAGAAGAAGCTAAACGTTTAAATCCACAGCCGTCCTTCCCATCCTGTCTCTGGGCACGGTTCCCTTCAGGCATTTTCCAGCCCCGTGTGCTCTTGTCAGAGCTCGGGGGGGTTGGTTCCGGGTCTGCCGTTAGTCCCCGTTCCTGGCCGTTCTTCAGAAACCCCCGTGTAACTGCTTTTAAAGTTGTACGAACAGTTCGCACGTGTAGAAAGTGACTTTCAGTCGCCACCACGTAGGTAATCACTGTTCTTGACGTGACACGGTTTTGTCTGGTGTTGCTCTGAGTGGTGTGTGTGTGTGCGCGCGCTATAAAATCGGTGTCCTGTCGCACGTGTGGTTTTTTAATCCTGCTCTTTTCACTTAACTCGCGAACTTCTATATCATTAAATATTTTTGAGAACATGAATTTAATTGTGTGATTTTTTTTTTAAGATTTTATTTATTTATTTGAGAGAGAGAGAATGAGAGAGAGCACACGAGAGGGGGGAGGGTCAGAGGGAGAAGCAGACCCCCCGCTGAGCAGGGAGCCCGATGCGGGACTCGATCCCAGGACCCTGGGATCATGACCTGAGCCGAAGGCAGTCGCTTAACCAACTGCGCCACCCAGGCGCCCTAATTGTGTAATTTTGTTACATATATAGATAGACCATTTTATTCCAGGAAGTTATTTAAACACTTAGGAGAAATTATGGCAAAAACTTTGGGGAAAATAAAGCATTGGAAGGTGGAATCTGGGTGCCAGAGCGGGGAAGACAGGAAACCTCAGCAAATGCCTGTGTGCTCTTTTCCATTTCAGTACTTTTTTTTAAAGATTTATTTATTACTTTGGAGGGGGGGAGACTGTGAGCGTGAATGGGGGGAGAGGCAGATGGGGAGAGAGAGAATCCTCAAGCAGGCTCCCCGCTGAGCATGGAGCCTGACACAGGACTCATCCCACAACTCCAAGATCATGACCTGAGCCAAAACCAAATGTCGGACGCTCAACTGACTGAGCCACCCAGGCGCCCCTCCATTTCAGTGCTGAGTGCACTGGTGGGAGTTTAATTTTGGGTCCAAGGATGTAAGTTAAGAGAAAATGTGTTGTCTTTTCTGTACCATCTTTGAGGGTGTGTTAGAAAGAAGAGTTTTGCTGTCGGAGAAGTTCGAATTAAAAGAGGAGAACCAGCCTGGGGCCTGTGCCTGTCACTGCCTCAGCAAGTGCGTGCTCAGCAGCCCCGTTCTCACTCTCCCCGCGCTGGCCCGGTGGAGGGAGCGAGCCTTGGCCGACCAGCCGAGCCTGAGCGGCGGCTAAAATAAATAGAGGGGCCGCCTGTCCTGTAAGGGGCCTCTTCAGAAACGCTTTGCTAAGTGGAAAGATTTCCAAGGCTTGGCGAGGGGAAGAGTGGGGCAGAGGGTGGCTGGAGGGCAGTCTGAAAAACCCACTTGGAGGCGAGGGGCAGCAGGTCCATCTGGGAATGCTGGGAGCTGAGTAAGCAAAGTCTTGGGAGTCAGCAAACAACTGAGCCCAGCTGCCAGGCAGACAATGGGTTGGGCCGGCCTGGGAAGCCAAGGGTTGCCATGGCGACGGGCCCTGATGCCTCCGCCCTGGTGCTCAGCGGACTGTGGCTTCGAAGGTCTCTGGGCTGTGAATGTCTTTCGGGCAGGGAGAAGCCCCCACCAAACTGGCAAGGAGGCCAGCCTCGGGGAGCTGCTGCTGGCCATTGGGATTGCAGAGACAAGGGTCTTCGTGGAGTTGCCCTCCAGGAAAGGAGGAAGGCCCCGCCAAGGCAGCCAGGACCATTCGAAGTCTGTTCCAAGGAGTAAATGGGTACTTGGGAATGGAAAATTCACGGGGAGGAAACCACCAGCAAGGAAACAGTGTGAACCATGGCCACAAAGTCCATACGTTAAAATAGACGGCGCCCAGGGGGCCTGCATCGGAGGCGAAGCAACTTGGCAGGGCTGAGAGCGCCCTGGTTTTCTGTGCAGACGATTCAGCTGGAGAAATTCAGCCTGGAGCTGAGTCTGGGAGAAGCCGCCTGGTGTTGGGTCTGTAGCTGGGCAGAGAGGCAGAGACCTGTGGGTCTAGCATGTGGCTTGAGGGCCAGGCAAGGCGCCAGCACGCCTAAGGGCAAAGCATGAATTCAGTCTTGACACGATGTGGGCCTCCACCTCCCAGCTGGCTCAGCCTCTGTCCAGGAGCCGTTTTCTGAGTGTTTTCTGCTGCTTTGTCCAAAAAGGAGGGTTGACAACCCAGAGTGAGAATAGGGAGGCTTTGCAGGTCTCAGAAGGGCCACCAAGCCCCACGCTTGCAGAATTAGTCTGAGCCCTGGAAGAAGCTCTCCAGGCCGGGCGTGTTTGTCCTTCTTAATTGGTAAGGTAATGAACTGAGAACATGGAAGGCAAGGGTCGCCCAGCCCAGCGAGTTTTAGCCGTCCACTCCGATTTATGTGTGCAGATGACGTCCTGTCTTCTGAAAAGGCAGAAGTGGGAGGCTTTTCATCTCCGCCATCCAACTCCTGAAAAGAAGGGAGAGCATGATTCCATGCTTACGAATTGCTGTAGTGGTGGAGCTGACCAGCTGCCACAGGAGGGGGCTGGGAGGGCCAGCGGTGACGGGCAGCTACCTGGCTTCCTCTCTGGGAGCTGGAAGGTGGGTGGGAAAAGTGCCCCAAGACCCTCCAAACTGTCACATTTTGTGCATTACAGTCGTGTCCCCATTGCTAGGATGGCCTGGAACAGGTTCTCAGCCTTGTCTTTGTAGCTCAAGAAAGGCCTTGAAATTCCTCCTACACCATCAATAGTTCTCTTTTGATACATGCCATGGCACATTTTGGCAGTGGAGAATCAGGAATGTGTGCATGGAATCCAATAGCGTTCCAGCACTCCAGAGTCGGAGCCCTGGCCTGGGGCCTCATTGGCCACTGACCAATGTTTGCACAAATAAGAGCACCCATTCTGGCCTCCGCCCCTGCCACACCTTGGCTGGCCCAAGACCTGTAGGAAGCAGGCAGTCATGGAGAATTCCCCCTAATACCCACATAGGCCCTTCACTTCGGGGTTATCCCCTTCTAGGAAGGGGTCTGCACTGCCGACGTTTCCTTCCTCAGGCTCTCCTCACAGTAGAACTTACCTATCACGGAGCAGCCAGAGAGTAAAATGAATGTGTGCATCCACATTGGCACGTTTGTTGTGTTAATATCCACGCCCCAGGGGCACCTGGGTGGCTCAGGCGTTAAGCATCTGCCTTCAGCTCAGGTCATGATCCCAGGGTCCTGGGATCAAGCCCCACATCGGGCTCCCCGCTCCGCGCGAAGCCTGCTTCTCCTGCTCCTGCTCCCCCTGCTTGTGTTCCCTCTCTCGCTGTGTCTATCAAAATAAATAAATAAAATGTTTAAAAAAAAAATATCCACGCCCCAGTGACTGATGTCCAGTTAACTCAAGGTCCATCACTGCTTACTCAGGAGGGAAGATTATTTCCAGGCATGGGTGAAATGTGGGTCCCAGGCCCTTTGGAATGTCCCCCAAATCATACCTGTCACACGGATGGCAGAGAATGACCCCCTATTCTGCTTCAGTGTACACCCAGTTGTACCTTTAAGCCCTTTTTTTTTTTTTCCTTTGATATTAAAAGGACAACTAGAGGGGCGACTGGGTGGCTCAGTCGGTTGGGCAGCTGCCTTCGGCTCAGGTCATGGTCCCGGGGTCCTGGGATAGAGCCCTGCGTCGGGCTCCCTGCTCAGCGGGAAGCCTGCTTCTCCCTCTGCCTGCCACTTCCCCTGCTTGTGCTCTCTCTCTCTGTCAAATAAATAAATAAAATATTTTAAAAAATAATAAATAAAAGGACAACTAGTTATCCTTTTGCCTTCTTTCCAAGTTTTAGAGTTTGAGAAGATTGAATGTTGTAGTTAGCTAAATTAATATTTATTGAGCGCTTATGGATTGTCAGTGTGCCAGGGGCTGGGGAGAGGGTGGCGAGCAAGGTGAAGGCCCACCTTTCTAGAATCTTCCTGATGATCAAGTGTTAACATGTAGACAGGAAACTGACAAGTGGTTAGTGTGTTAAAATGTGGAGATTGTGGAGCAGAGAGATATTTGTAAGAGATCTTCCTCTCCTAACACCAATCTCAGGGATTTTCCAGAGAAGTGACATCAGCTAAAGGATAAACTGACATCAGTGGGGTCAAAAGTGGAGGTGGGGGCGGGGGAGGAATGGGGAGTAGGGGTGGAAAGGCAGGACAGCAAAGCTGGGAACGGGGTGGCACGCCTGGGTGCACGCGGCTGACAGAGGATGGCTGGGGTGGCAGGTGCAATGGGAGGGGGGAGGAGATGGTACAAGGTCAGTCCAAGGAGAGACTGCCAGACTGCATCTCACAGAACTCGCCTTTCATCCCCGGGGCCATGAGAGTTTAAGCATCCTTAACAACATTGGTAGCACCATCTGACAAATGGAAAATCCTCTTGATAGCAGTTTGGTGATTGGATTCGGGAAGTTTGAGGAGGAGAGCATGGCAAATAGGCTGAAGAATCAGGAAGCCTCCTGCAATAATGCCCTTAAAATCAGCCTAGAAATAAAAAGTGTATATATATATATATATATACACGCACGTGGGCATGTGTGCTCTTTGTTCTGCTTATACAGTAATAACATTTTCTTTTTTTTTTTTAAGATTTTTTTTATTTATTTATTTGAGACAGAGAGAATGAGAGAGACAGAGAGCACATGAGAAGGGGGAGGGTCAGAGGGAGAAGCAGGCTCCCTGCTGAGCAGGGAGCCCGATGCGGGACTCGATCCCGGGACTCCGGGATCATGACCTGAGCCGAAGGCAGTTGCTTAAACAACTGAGCCACCCAGGCGCCCAACATTTTCATTTTAAAACGTTCAAACAGCGCATAGGAAATGAAGATATAAGTCCTCCAGTTTTCAATTGGTTCCAGTTGTATTTCAGATTTTTCTGTGAATAGACACACACACACATCCCTACATATGTGTATATATGTAAGAAGTTTTGAAATGGTAGAAAATACGCAGTTTTGCCATTGCTTTTTTTCAATTAATACTATATTTTGGACATTTAAAAAATGTTGATACAGGGGCACCTGGCTGGCTTAGTCGGTGGAGCATGCAACTATTGATCTCAGGGTTGTGAGTTCGAGCCCCACCTTGGGTGTAGAGATAACTAAAAATAAATAAATAAATAAATGAACTTAAAAAAGATACCGAGACATAAAAATCTACCTCTTTCGGGGCACCTGGGTGGTTCAGTCGGTTGAGCGTCCGACTCTTGATTTTGGCTCAGGTCATGATCTTAGGGTCCATGTCTGGCTCCACACTCAGTGGGGAGTCTGTTTCTCCCTCTGCCCAGCCCCCTGCTTGTTTTCTCTCTCTCTCTCTCACTCACTTGCTCTTTCAAATAAATA